GGCTCATTCTGAAATTCTGATTAGTGAGCATATGAGATAGGTTTGCATTTCCTCTAAGTCTCAGATTATGTGCATAATTCTTCAATTGTGTTATAATTTTTATAAACAGAAGTATACTTGCAAAACTGATTCTATTATGCTGATTCAGGAAATAAAGCATTACATTAAAAATGAATGAAGTAGACCAGAAACATTTTAAAACATGCATGATACTGAATGGCGTTTAAAACAGCTCGAACGAATTAAGTTACCCATTATCAAGAGCAAATAGACAATTGAAAAAAAACTAGTATTATTACAAGAAAAAATCTGATGTGTACACCACATGACTTCCTTGTACGGAATATTAAATTATACGCATTTTTCTCTTGAATTTCATTTAAATTGATTGGATTGAATTAAATCTACTTCGTCGACAGCGCATAAACCACAATAAAATAAATGCACTCTTTAAAATTCACTATATTTGTTTTCTATACACTCTGAATGCACAAAATGTATATCATTTGAAGAATTATCGTTCCCACATGTTCTATTCAAATTCTATAATAAAGCTAAAACGATGTATGAAAGAAATTAAGCAAACAAAACAGAAAAGAAACAGTTTTTCACAGACGATTTAGTATTTCTCATTCAATTAATTCAGTTCTTACTTCGCGACAAGGCAAAAATACATAAAAACTCAAAATATTTGCATTAAAAATTACGAAGTAAAACTTAAACACTTATTTCCTCCAAAAAATTCCAGAAAGGATTAAGCATGATTTAATTCGCAATAATAAATGAAGGCGTTATTATGGTGTTGCGAAGCTTAGTCTCTCTCGATTGGCAACAAATCTACAATTCTGCTGTTTCAAATGTAAACAAATATGTCCGCCATGTTATTTAAACTTAACCGCACTTAAACATCTTTTAAATTGTTGATAATTCTACAAATATTGCTTCCAGAATTACGAAAGGCATAAAAACCTTAACCGGAAGATAAAAACAACATAATTCAATCATTTTTAAAGCAAAAAATGTACAATTTACAAACATATAAGAGTAAAGAAACTGAGATCACTGAGCCGGGTAACAGAGTGGATATATATATAAATATATTTATATACGTTTGGTGCGGCCGATTGCAACCAAAATGCGAGGTGCACATCTACATGTTATGGCAGTCCTATATACAAAATTTCAACGTTCTGAGGCTACTCGTTTTTCAGTTATGCGAGATACGTACGTACGTACGTACGTACATACGTTCGTACAGACGCCACGAAAAATTCTCTTCAGAATTAATTTTAAAGCAGTTTTATAATTTTTTTGGAAGAAACGAGTCTTTTATTCTGTCCTTACGTACAGATATCACGCAAAAACATCGTTAAATTGCATTCGATAGCGGTCAAAATGAATATTTTCGTTGAAATATGTTGCCTGAAACTTTTCGCTATTACAATACTTCCTTTTTACTTCGTACAAGGAAGTAAAAAGGAATTCCAGGGCACCCTATTTTGGTAAAACTATAAAAGCAAAATAGCCTGGTACAATATGAAAAACCAAAATCCAAAAAAAAGGAGAAAAATTCATTTGAAGACCAAAATATTACCTTAAAATAAATCCTAAGGCAATATGACTTGAAGAAGCATTGGAGGAAGGCTTTCACTATTTGAATTACGTCCAAGCACTGTACGACTCTTTGCTTAAGGGAAAGGGCGCCTTTATAGATAAACCGTTTAAGGTAAACTCGATCATTTTCATATTGCATGTGGGGAACAACCACTAAAACTCCCATGTAACTACCGTATTGACTTGATTTTGATTCGGTGAATTTTGAACTGTCAAAGGTCGGCGAATTTACTGATTCGGCCACCGTTTCGCAAGGGAATCCGAAGATGTACGAAAACAATAAATAATAAATAATTTGAAATAGCACTCATGTAGTGAAATATGGCTCTTTTAAAATTTTCTTGTGGCTCAAAAAGAATGCAACAGGTATTTTTCTTAATAGTATAAAATATCGGGATTGAATCCTAATCCCGAGAAATAGATTCAGTAGAAAATTCAGTCGGAGAAATGAGATTCTATATTATTACAAATACCCAGAATTCGAACTGAACAGCAAGAGCTTTGAATTGTAGCAAATAGCTATCCACTTGAGATAAAGAAATAATAAACGTATTTGCATAGTTAAACGAAATGATTCTGCAAATGTATCAGCAGTATAAGAATTCAACAGAAAATTCGGAATTATGAAATCAGCTGAGTCGAAGGGCACTTTTGGAGTGGTTAAATCCTGAGAACAGGAATGTTGCAGAACTACAATACGAACTTTACTAGCACCATAATCTTCCGAACACGTTGTAGGGGAAAGGATGTGATGGGATCAAAGATCTGAATGCTTGCCTGTGCGCATAGGTTCCTCTAGATCGAATAGAAGTATTGACGTCAGGGATCTGCATACTAAAATAAAAGAAAAAAATCTGAAAGCATTCATATTTTACATTACGCCCAAAGCTACTTTTTTTAACGTTTTGTGTGTTACCTTTATTTGTTAAAAATCATGTTCTTCCCATTTAAACCATAAATTCAATTCAACAGTAATATCGCAAAATAATTTCGAAATGAGTAAATCTTTAGAATTTCCAATACACAGTCTCGCGCGCTGGAGATAAAAATGCTTTTTTTTTTTTTTTTTTTTTCGTACAGTATTGCCATTGCTTGCTTTGAAATCGTTGACTTTGTTAATCCAAAATTCGTTAAAGTGTTACCAAAATATGAAATTGATAATAAACCAAATTCCAAATTAGGAATTCAATATTCGGTGGAAGATTACGTTATTCAAGGTTTGATGACTCGAGATACCGTTGTTTTATCACAGTGCGTGAAACATACTGTTACGAAATGTACAGGCGTGGTGAGATAGCTTCCCATCCCCAAGCAGTTTTAGGGTTGCCATAAAATGGCAAAGGAAGGCAGTGTTGCCACATTTGGCCACAAAATTGGCGATATGCCATGGACGGATCGAGAACCTTCTGGAACGAATTCTTAGCGGTTTATCCCAGAATGTTCTCGAACACAAGCCGAAAGCTATATAAACCCTGCTGGTCCGCAGTCATTGGAACACTGTGCTTCATCGAGAGGGCAAGTTAGAGTGCCTCGTCGAGAGGGCAAGTTTGTGTGCCTCGTCGAGAGGGCGAGTGAGAGTGCCTCGCATAGAGTGCGAGTTAGTTAGTATCGAGTTGGTGTCTCATCTAGCTACTCAACCCCTGCGGAGTCGATCGACTTGACAGCCGGGCAGCGAGTGCCGAGTGAATCGTCGAGTGCACCGAAAGAATCTCATAGTGTATCGCGGTTAGTGCATCGTCGAGAAAGTGTGTTGAGCTCCGGGAACGACTGAACCGAAAAGTCAGGAGCTGTGCTCTGTGTGTCGTCGAGTCATCTCGAAAGTGGAGAGTCTCGAGAGTACGTGGAGTTCCGAGAACGACCAAGCAGAGTCGGGAGCTGTACTCTAATGCTTTGCCGTGAAGCTGTCTCCACCGTGATAGCCTGATAACCTGGAGGCTGTGTCGCTGATCGTGTCAGCGTGTTTATAGTAGTTCATCGACGACTGTAAAAACGTATTTTGGAGCTGTCCTGACAATATTGACCAATAAAAGTGTCTTTCGATACTTCATAAAGTGTCGTCGTTATTCACTCCAAATCTACGAACCCCGTACGAATGTGAAGAAAGAAAATAACGTCTAATATAAGAAATAACTGGTGCCAGAAAAGAAAAACGTAACAATACATACATTTATGCAGATTCTTCATTATTTAATTTCTTTAAGAATAATGCAGGGCTCTAAGATTTGGTGGCAGCAATTTGAAATGTGAACCGAAATTCATAGTGAACCGACGTAAAACGCCAAAACGAAATTAATAGACCTTCTGTGCTAACGCCCTTTAGGCTAAAAATTGCCATCAGTTTTAGTCTGAAAAGTGGAGTTTACCGTCAGCAATGTACTCCAGCGTAATCAGTAGCTAATGTCGTAACCACTTCTCATGCAAAATCTGACATTAAGGGGGAAAATTAATGCTTTTTGAAAGGATTCATAAGATAATTAAGATGAAAGAAACCACGCAGCAAAATCTCTATTAAATGCTATCTCGCAACTGGAAATCTGTAATAATTGCAAAAGACAGTCAAGTTCGAACCAGTTTCGAGAAAGCTGAATCTTTCTTCAGGGCAAATAGAAATACACCTGAAGCATGAGGATCCTGTCTTTCAGTCTAATCCTTAAAGACTGGCGGTAACCATACCGTAGTTGAATGATAAAACTGTGAGCATAAGCACTTCGTCTTCGGTGAATGAATTGGTAGCAGGAGACTAGTATGTCGGTGCCGCTGTATACAATCAACAGTAGCGTTCTTCCGTAGAAGACATTCAAAAAAGACATGTCTTTTATCACAAAAAAACTCAAACTCTTTGTCATAATAAAATAACTTAAATAAATCTACTTATAAACGTTTTTAGATGAAGTGAATCTTCAGATCCGTGTCATAACTAATTAAGACTGATAAAAATGGGCAGATTATTAATTATTCCCACTTAAGTGAACATATAACAGTAACATATTCAGAATGAAACGATAATTACGTGAAAAAAAAATTCAGATCTATGAAACCTGAAGAATAAATTTTAGGCTCTGCGAAACGGCAGACAACTGCTCTTCTTTTTATCACCATTTTAGCATATGAAACTTAATCTAAAAATCACGCCATTTTTAATCCAGATAGAATGTCACCTTCGGAAGGATGTGGTTAGAAACGTGTCGTAATAATCGTCGTCAGCATTGATCAGGTGTATTGTGATTTCACATTCGAAGGACTATAACTTAGCAAACAAGAATGGAAAATTCTGAGCATAAGCGCATACTTAATGAAGTTATAATGAGCATGTGCAGTCACGGATTATTGAAACATATAATCCTAAGAGCAGGATGTTAGATAGCATCAGTGTATCTTAGTTCATGGTATAAAACCTTGCTGTCATATGACTCAGAACTATTAAGCGATATCCCACGCGAAAATATCGTATTCAAATCCTTTGTAGAATTTTTGTAGAATCATTCCAATCCAGATTTGCTGCTTTGTACGACTGGGACATTAGTTGTCAAAGCATAAACTACCAGGTATGTTAATTTTTTATTCAAATGACTACGTGTCCTTACCTAAGCAAAATATGTGTGTCTGACTCAAAGAATCTGTCCGAGCATTTCGTTCTCAAATCTGAGGGCTATGATTTTAACATTTAGTCCCTAGTTCTGAAAATAATAGTGATGCTAATTACAATCGCATCCTATACTTCTTTACTGTGTTTTTGTAAAATTGAGACCATTTAAGTATCTTTATATAAAAGCTGATTTTTATATTGCTAGAGATAATCATAGGTAGGTTTAATTTTCCAAAAGATATTTTGCAGAATGCAAATCGTAGCTTATGAAATACGTAAAAATATTTATTATTTTGGAAGTCAATGTTTTAAATTTTGTTTACTATTCTATCTTATAATGTTTTAAAAGTTTTCTGATGATTTTCATTCATAAATTTTAGATAGATATTGCATGCTCCGTTATTTATTGCATGCTTCTGCGAAGTTCTAATTTTATTAAATAGCTAGAACAGTGAGCTAGCCAGTGTTTCCTTTCCCATGCATCCCTTTTAATGTTGCTAGAAGATTATTCCTGCCTCCTTTTCAAAATTTGAAATATATATATATTTAGATTTGTTTCTAGCGTGTTTTATAAATCAAACAACAAAAATTATGGAAAAGGTTCTTAAGTACCAAAATTTGAATAAAAGTAGTTTTTTATATTTGTAAAATAAAATTAAATATCTAAAATCTAAACAAAAAGCTGACCGCAAACCATCCTAAAACTATGAAATTTCCTTCCCTCCCCGATTGAGAACCCCCTGGACTAGAGTAATTTATAATACTTCGGTAAAGCTTGTAATCATCAACATTTTTACATGCACAGTAAGAATTTAAATATAAAACTTTTATATCATATAATTAAATTATAAAATTCTCGCGTATAATATAATTTTCCAACAAAATATGTCTGTTATGAATAATAGGTGAGTGAAATTTAATGTGGCCACTGGGAAGGCAGTACTAATATACGTAATGCCTTCTCAAATGCTTTAGAAACGATTGTAAATACTTCTTTTTCGTTCGACAAAAACCTTTATTAGTTTCATTTACAGTCGTTTCATGCCTTAAAAAACAGTATTTACTCACATTAATCCTTATGCGAGTATTATGAGTACTTTTTCACTCTAAGGGAAGTAATATATCGCAATGGATTTCATTTTTTCATATTAACGGAGTACTTCATTATGGGTGCTTCTTCATACTGAAGAAGGTAATTATAACCAGCTGTGCTTTTCCTAACAGAAATGTCTGAATTTTTTATTCAAAACAGGCAGTATCTGAGCTACCTGTTCTGTTAGAAAAAGGTGGGGAAAAAGTGAACGTTTCTTCGAATTGTGCTAAAGTTAATCGTTATTCAAGTATCGTTATTATTAATGTGCCAAAGTTAATCGTTGTGCTAAAGTAATCGTTATCATTTCGTTTTATTCAGGTATGATTACCAATTTTTCAGAGATCGTTTTTCTCAGGAGTGGAAAATCCGAAATACCTTTATATGCGGTAAGGTCGTAAATTTACAATCCGTTTTTTCAGGGGTAGAGCAGACAAGGAGCGGAAAATCTCGCTCGGGATCTTAAGAAATTGTGGGGGTTGTTTAAAGATCTAACTTCTCTACATTCAGTTTTATACAGAGGAAAATACAAATTGAATTCTTCGAATGAATGCAATTTTGTACAATGAAAATGTATTACTTAACGATAAACTGTAAGATAAATAACATTTTTTTTTAAAGCCATAGGTGTAGAAAGACAGATATTTGTTACACGAATGAATTTGTAGTAAATATTGAGTTTTTCATTTCGAATGCTATGTTCCATGTATGCGAAGTAGCTGAGTATGTGAGATAATAGTCATAACCGAATGGCTTTCAACCTTTTCACGGCTAAGGACTGTTTCTCAATTACATTGTGGTCACTGGTTTTCGATTAATTTTCTAACGGCATATAAACAATAATTGTTTTTATTTGAGACTTATGAATAAAATAACGCAAACTAGACTGCAGAAAATTCATAATAATGAAGTTAAATAATACTGAGAAATACATTATTGATGCATTTTTGTGTTTTATATGTATATGTATAAATTATATGTATATGTATATTTTGTGTTTTATATGTTATATGTATATTTTATATGTATTAACTACTACTATAATCCTTAAACGGAATCCTTAAAATATATAATATCTATGTATAGGTATATATAAATGGAACCAAATATAGAACAAGGTATAAAATATCTTTATTATACAATGTTCATTACCATACGTATATTTACGATACGTATATAAATATAAATAGTTAGTTAGGTTTCGTACATATATAATTTATTTTTATATTTTGTATTTTTTGTATTAGATTCAGTACTGTATACGTATCTGAAGTTTAATTTGTTCTCTTTTTGGGTTACGACTTTAAGTGAGAAAGAATTGTTGGTGGTGAGCCACACACACATCCACACATATACATTAAATAGTATTTACATGTCGTTTATAAAGTATAATTGAGTGCAATTTAATCATAAAGAGTTAGAAAATATTCTACGGAATTACTTCACTTCGTAGACTTTTTGTTAAGCTTCACCATATTTCTTAAAGAGAATCTCAATGCTAGTTCCATTTCCAAGCTGTTTATGTACCTTATTTTTCATGCTTTGAATTATATTTAGAAAATTATTTCACTTGGTTATAGCTGAAAATGCAGTTTTTTTATTGAAGAATTTAAGGATAAGAAGAGAAATTATGCCCTTTTCTTAATTATTCTTGAAGCATTTAATTTTTTTAAAAAAAGCGCACATTAATACGGATCACTGAACTAAAGTGGTCGACACAGGACAGATGAAAAAAATAAAAGAATTACAAAATATTGCAGAAATTACATAAAATAGCGAATAAACTTATTCGGCACAAGCTCGCTAAATAACAAACAGATTGCACAGTCAGAAAGCGCGCCTTGTCACAGAAATATACTGTTCATCGGGTTTAAAGGTTATTCAGACTAACGTGCGGTTCAGTGAGTAACTTGTATTTTCCTTTGAATGTATAAACTAGCCAAAAAAATTGAGCACTTGACAATTAGATGCAAATTTAACAGATGGATTGAAGGAACCCTACTGCAACGTACCACTTTGTGTAAGTATTTTCGTGGATTTCCTTAAGGTATGTAAATATGAGCCCATTTTCCTTAGAAAATTCTCCATGAAATCATGCCTAGCCAACCCTCATATGTTTTGCCATATTCAACACAAAATCATTCTTTAAGATGATTAATAATTAATTTTATGTTAGATGATACAAAGCTTTTCAAAAACTAGGATGCTTTCCGTAAACGATTAGTATTAATAAGCGCTGTTCAACTGGAATTGGGTTGGATTATTTTTGTTTATAGCAGTGCTTTTCAGCCGACTTACATATACCTGTATGTATTGCTCAGAGGGGGGGGAAGGAAATTCCTGAACGAAAGCAATGTAATAATGAAATGTTAATAAACAAATAAATATAACTTTTCGTATCGTATGTAATTTGTCTCCGTTCTGATACCATGTGCATCATTTATTTCTGATATACTGATACTGAATGAGACCTAAAAACACATTTTTTTAAAAATATATCTCCCCTTATGATCCCTGACACAGCCGTTTACTTTCCCCTTCCGTAATTAACGTCAGTCTCCTGCTCTTGACAGCATTTGCCAAGCCACGGAAAATCCACCATTCTCTTTCATTTTAGATTTCGTGCGGTTTATGCTTCTCACAGAAACGCCAGTCAAATCAGCATTAATAGTAAAAATTTTGTTATCGGATTCGTTAGGAGAATGCTTTGCTATAATCAAACAAACCAGGCCAAACAATAGATATATAAATAAGTAGCTTAAAAAACTGCTATATTTTATGTATACTCGTTAAGTAGTATTTCAATATATATAATGATTAAAAGAAAGGAAAAGTCGGATCCTAACTGATTGTATATAATGTAATCCCTATGAAGGCCCTAACAATTCTTTCTCACTTAAAGTCGTAACAGTCCTGTAATTTGATAAAAACATTCATAAAGATTATCTTAGGGGAACTATAAAGTAGTTTTCCAGCCTTATGAGTTTGGAAATTAGGCACATATGTCGAAGACGAAGCAAACGCCACAACAATGGCTTTCCTCTCCTCCCGTCAATGAATGAATGAGTGAATGTTTTACTTCCTTTTCTCAACGATAGTGGGGTGAGTCGCGGCGGCTAGAATGTGCTGCTCCGCCAATAATTCCAAAAAAGGGGATAACTTCTTATTGTTCATCAAATAATTGACATGATATTAGCAAATTTTAAAATGAAAAGCTAGATGCACCGTAATCTACTGTTTTACACATTTCTTTCGTCTCGTTCTCTTTTCTCAACATTATGTATATTGCGCAACATAATTTTTACTATACGAGTTTTTAAAATGATAGAACTACATTCTACAGAGGCCGCAACCCTTTTTACTATACTTCATGTTATAAGGTATTTATCCTGCTTTCCTAGTGTGCCTTCGTGGGGTGGTGGTTCTGCACTCTGGGAAGGTATTGCAGAGGTCCGTGGTTCGATTCCCGGCGAAGGCGTTGTTTTATCTTTCCTGCTTCCAAAAAAATCCAAATGTCTCTACAGTGACGCCCGAACTAAAAGGTTGTCGGATGATGATTCTCCGCACCCAGGATTTGGCCGATTGGGTCCCCTAAAAAACCCAGTCGCCCTTTAAAAAGAGGGAGTATATAAGATATTTCTCCCGCCTTCTTAGCGCGCCTTCGTGGTGTAGGGGTTCTGCACGCTGGGCCTGTATTCCAGAGGTCCGTGGTTCGATTCCCGCTGAAAGCGATTACTCATCTTTCCTTATTATCGTAAGTTTTTATTTCTGAAGCAAACACATGATGTACAAATTTACGCAAGACGTGCAGTCGAATACTTTGCAGCTGCCATATTATGTAGTTAAAAAAAAAAAAAAGAAATCTGGAAATAATGTTTATCCAATTTTTACGTTAAAGCTCCTTTCCTATCTATCTTAGCTTCAGCTTACAATTTCCTGCCAGAATGTGTGTTTAGAATCGCCGCGTTTATTGCGAATGAGTTCGAGTAGTAGTTAAGTCGAAGTTCTACTGACTACAAGAGAGAAGCACAGTTTCTTATTAGCGTGCGTTTGCCTTTTGGCCATATCTCTCTAAGCTGTTACTATGTTCGGCCAAATTAAGGACCCTTGGTAGCTTCGCTAGCTAATTCGATATTTAAAGGCCAACTAGTGACACTTATGTTAGCTTTAGCTACATCTCTCTAGTTAAGCAATAGTTAAGTTCTTATTTTTAGACTTTCGAGTTTAAGCCCAAGTGAAGGCTTTGTTGTACGCCCTGAGAAAGGGGCCGACTGTTAAGGGTAATTAACTCTTCCCGCGTCTTACGTTTCTGTTACTGAACTTTATGCGATTACTAGCTAAGCCTTTCACTAGGTTTTTCCACACTTAAGCTGTTAGATAAAAGGGTGGAACCCCACAAACTTTCAGATTTTATATTATGCCCAAAAGGGCATTTTTTTCATTTACAGACACATGCATGTTTCGAAAGCATTCGGGCTAACGCCACTTTTCGCTAAAAATATTTAAGAACAGTAAATCTTTAAAATTTCTGATAGATAGTATCAGGAGCTGGAGATAAAAATGTTTTATTCTCTAAAATGTTGGCACTGCTTGGTTTGAAATCGTTGAGTTTTTAAATCCAAAATTCTTTAAAGTTTTCTATGTTACAAAATATAAAAAAATTAAGTAAATATAAAAAAGTTACAAACTATGAAAAAGACAATAAAATAAATTCGAGCTTTCAGGTGGCCATGTTCGGGTGGAGAACAATGTTATTCAAAATTTGATGACGCTAGGTTACCGTAGTTTTTTCAAAATACGAGAAACTTATATACCTTCATGCAGATTCTTTTTTATTTAGTTTCTTCAAATATAATCCAGGGCGATAATGTTTGGTGGCAACAATTTGAAAAGTGATGTTTTAAATTTAAGTATTCAATGCAAAATGCCATTTCGAGACTAACAGCCCTTGTGGGCTTTGGAGTAAAAACTTATTTTCCTTATTAGATGAAAACAAAAGTAATTGAATACAGAAGCGGAATAAGTGCACACGGAAACGACATTGCTAGGTGTGTAAGTACATCATCAGGAGAATTGAAAGCATTACTTTTACAAACCTCACTGCAAAATATAATTAATCACGCACACCTCATACACTTTCTTAGTTAGTTTTTAACTGGAAACTTCTAGCAGAGATGTTGTTATAGACGGCTCGGATTACGCTTCTAACACTAAGATAAATTTATAAAATTAATTTATATGTAGCTGCTACATCTTTAGCTATATCTAGCAGTTGAGCTGAACTTGGTTTATTAACTCACCTGGTTTTCGTAAACTTCATTAATTTGTGTTTATGCAGTTTCAATCAGTAGAGACAAAATAGACTAGAACATAGACACTGGCAACCAACACTTTTTGAAATAAAGCAGATTTTTATCTGTAGCGAGCGAGACTGTTGCCAATTAAAAAAAGGGAAGCGAAAATTAGCGTTTTCAGAGTTTTTTTATTAATATTTCGGCTGAATAAAGTCGTACGAAAATGAGAATGCTCGAAATCACTTCCCACGGATTTTTGGGATATCTCTTTCAAAATACTGCTCTTCTTCGTTCTGGAGGAGTTGATGCCACAAACAAAGAAACAAAATGACAGATGCGCACAGATTTTAATAGCATCCATTATCTTCGAAATTGTTGTTTCCTTGTAACTCATAATAACATGCAGTTGCATATTGTATTCCAATCGCTAAATGTGCTAATAATACATAAGTGTTTAATGATCAGAATACAACAATGATTAATTAATAAAACTTAGGGATTGTTAATTTTTCATTTTGTCTGCTTCCAAAATTCCTAATGACTCTACAGTGGCGCCCGAACTAAAAGGGTTGTACATTATGACTCTCCACACCCAGGATTTGGCGATTAGGTCCCAAAAAAAACTCCAGTCGGCCTTTAAAAGGAAGTGTATATAAGGTATTTCTCTCACCTGCCTAGCCTTCCTTCGTAGTGTAGTGGTTCTGCACGATGGGCCGGTATTCCAGAGGTATGCGGTTTGATTCTCGGCGGAGGCGTTGCTAAGTTTTCATCTCTCCGGCCTCCAAAAAATCCTAATGTCTCTACAGTGGCGTCCAAACTAAAAGGGTGTTGGATGATGATTGTCCTCACCCATGATTTGGCGATTGGGTCCCCTAAAAAAACCCAGTCGCCCTTTAAAAGCGGGAGTATATAAGGTATTTCTTCCACCTTCTTAGTGTGCTCTCGTGGTGTAGTGGTTCTGCACGCTGGGCCGGTATTCCAGAAGTCCGTGGTTCGATTCCCGGCGAAGGCGGTTGCTAATTTTTCACCTTGTCTGCTTCCAAAAATCCTAATGTCTCTACAATTTCATACATTTCCTAGGCATTCTATAGAATGCCAAACTACAAACCGCCTAAATATGAAATACACTTACGATTCGTTCCGAAGAACCGAAACTACTTACCAGAAGTTAAGAAAGAACCACTTTTATGAGCGCTGCTAGAAAAAACAAAAAGGGATTAAAAAGGGATTTTTTGTTGTGAAACAAATGACTGTTTCTGAATTTAAATTCTGTTTTCACGTAGATCTTACTGATTTTCAGTCTCAGCCAGATAAAAATAAAAATTTATTACGCTGTATCAAGATCATCTCAAATTTATTACGCTGTATCAAGATCATCTTATTTTTTACATATTTCGAAGAATAGATATTTAATGGCACTGATGCATTATTTTTTCATAATAACATTTGTGCTTTTGAGGAATGAACGCCTTTTAAATAATGCCTTAACATAAGGTTTTTTCACACTTTGCCTAAACAGTATTTTTCATTCTATACAATGCCTAGGAATTATATACAATGCCTAAAAAAGTATGTAATAATTCTCAGATTTTCATACTTTTCCTAAAAACTTCCGTCATTATATACAGTGCCTAGGCATTCTATAGAATACCGGTAACTCATGCACAATAAAATGATCAAACCAACTAAGATAATATAATGATCAAACTTTATTGATGCAGTAATAAAAGAAGAAGAGCGTAAGTTTGGTGGGATTTTTACTAACTTTCTTTGTCGACGGAAAAATACATAAGTGTCAAAATACCGCATTTATTTTGGTTTACACAATGAAATGAGTAAAATGGCAACTACAATGTATGGGTGATTTTTAGTTTCTGTTAAAAGACTCCATGTAAAACAGAATTTCCTTATATTAATTGTGTACAATGCACTAATGTTTTCTGGATAGTTCTGAGAACAATTATGAATAATTTATTTACTTTATTCCAAACAGAATAAAGATGATTTTCTTGCTGAACAAGACCCTTTTGGTCCTTATGGTACTAAGCATAATTGCAAGTAATGCTTATGCTAGGCCAGTGGAAGACGATACCGTTAGTAGTCCAGACCCTTCCCCTGCTGACCCCGCAGAAGATGCTGCTTCCTCTGCTGCAACTGAAGCAGGAAAAGATTCTTCAGCTAGTACGACAGATAGTTCAGCTGGTTCAACAAGCTCTTCAGATGATAAGAAAGATTCTTCTTCAACAGCTCCTTCCACAAGCTCGAATGATTCCTCAGACGGCACTGCCTCACCTGACGCACCTGATACAGCCAGCAGCAAAGATGGCGCCGATGATCCATCAGTGAGTTTTTCTTTTTCGTTCTTAATAAAAACATTTTAGCTTTGCAGATTTCGTTGAGAGTTTCTTTAATTTTCTTGTTTCGCAATTAATTCCTTCGAAAAATTCTCTTTTATTTTCTTTTAGTTCTTATACGTTTCATTAAGGTAGAAAATTTTTAACACAATACTATGATTACAGAGAAATTATTATCAATAATAAATGAGATTAATATTTACATTTTTTATAAAATTTAAATATATTATTAGTACTCCATTTTGCTAATGTCGACTGCGGAGATTTATTTAGTTCAATTAAGAGTTAATTTTTATTTTAAAGCAATTTTCCTTCGATCTTCATTTTTAACCCACGCTTTGTTGCCAGAATGTTAATAAGCTAGCGCGCGTGTACTCAAATGAGGTAGAAGGAAAATGTATTTAAGAGAAAGTTTTGGAAAAGTGTTGTCAGACTTTTTTTATTACTTTTTTTTCAGTCTTTCCTCAGTTCATGATATCAATGTTCAGTTTTCTTAATAAGATGGTATTACAAACGTTTTGTGTGTTTATTTATTAAATATCACATTAGACAGATCTACTTTGTCTGTCAGCAATCAGTTTTTAATAAAATGGTTTGCTAAGCGATTTTCTTACATATTATTCTGGCTTGATTGGAACCCATTTCAAAAATTCAGCTTAACAAGTTTCGCAGGCAAACAATCCACCGAGCATCCAACCAATGTCTGCATTGATTCTGGTTGTGTTTCCTCTCCCAATTCACAGACTTCACAGCACTCCTTGCCATTAGGCCAAAAGTCTTTAGCTTGACATTGTGCCCTGTTTCTTTGCATGGATTACAGAATTAACTAAACGACAGACTATTTGCTCCTGTCTCCTGTGGACAAATGAACCTTGATAGATCGTTCTAACATTCAGTTCCAGTTGGCATTTCTAAATAACATTGTAAGGTATTTCTCCCTCATTCTTAGCATGCCTTCGTAGTGTAGTGGTCAGCACGCTCGGCGTGTCTTCGAGAAGTCCGTTGTTCGAGTCCCGGCGAGGGCGTTGCTAGTTTTTCAGGTCTCCTGCTTCAAAATAACCTAATGTCTCTACAACCAAAACTTCTCTCTTTCGGGAAACACCTCAGAGTTCAATCCTGCTTCAGTTTCCCAAACATAACAAGCATTCGGACCAGGATGTCTGAAACATTCCAGTCCAGGGACGGAAATAGCTTTGACTCTGTAGGTCCTTTCAGTTTTGAAATTAAATTAAGCAATCAGCTGCATTTGATCTTTAAAAGTGGATCTAGTACTTAATACGGTTTCAGTTTTGGGAACGTATCAAGCCTCTGAATCTCGATCTAAGGAAGAATAAAGTTTGATTCCAAGAATATCGTTTATAGTTAACTTCATCTCAGGTACGAAAATATCTAGATTATCAAAAGCCGTCCAGTTTTCTGTCCGTCCATCACTTTCTAAGTCAAAATCCCGCTTAAGATCGTATCGCTTTTTACCATATGAGCTTCATAAGGTACTTTCTTCCTCGCCTCCACATACCTTCGTTATGTAACTGGAAACACGCTCGACACATATTCGGGAGGTCATGAGTTCGAATCCCAGCTAGGTCATTGAGGATTTCTTCAGTTTCTTTGCTTCTAAAAATCCCAAAAGACTCTACACTTTAAAGAAATGTTCCAGATTATTATTCTTGTTCAGATTCGAAAATAGTTTTAACGGTATCCTCCATTTGAGTTCCAAAAACACGTTCAATATTGATTTTAGGAAATTATTTTAGTGTTTTGTACAGTTTCAGTTCTCGCAAAACCTTTGGTTTTCGAAATCCTAATTTGAAAGTATTCCATTTCATTTTGAGAGGTAATCCGAAACAATTTTATTCTTCCCTGCAAATACTTCCAGCATTAGTTTCTGCCCTATATCTCAGGTAAACTATAGGCTTCAACGACCCTGGATTTGATTCCATTAATCCCTTTTTACATTTTACGTTATAACCCACAGGTTTATAAAAAAATTGACATCATTGGTCTCGCAAAAAAGATCTTTGAATAATCTATATTTCTTTGATTATAAAAATCACCTTGGATTTTTTTGCCTCAAGTTGGCATTTGAAAAACTTTTGCAGTACTTAATCTTTCTTTGCCCTTAAAGATGTTTCGTTTCCCCGTTAGGCCCACCAGCGGCCGAGCGGTAAAGTCGCTGAACACTGCAGTTCGGTCCGAGGTTCGAATCCCGCGAACGGGATGGCTGCATGCGCGTTTTCGTGGTTTCCCCCATGTGTAACGTGTATACGAGCCAGTTTCCCTTAGAAAGTCCTCCACGAAGGCATCCCTCCTCTTAGGCAGATAGCCCTCGAGGCTTTGCCATAATCACACACACACGTTTCCCCGTTTTACATTTTGCAAAGAGTAATCCTCTTCCCTCATTTCCGGTTTCGCATCGTAGCTCAGGGCCGAGAGAGAGGGAACCCATGCAGGTAAAAACTGTGCAAGAATTGAAGGTGAGATTCAATCACGTTCTCCTCTCGGATGGCATGTTTCCTGGAAACTTGATCTGATGCTGATTTTTTGTTTCTTCTATATACGTTAGCTACGCTTACATGGCAGTTAGAATTTTGGGCAACTGTAACCTCAATATATCCGCAGTGTGATTTCCTAGTACATACAGGGTGAATCTGAACAAGTGGACAGAACTTTAGAAGGTGATAAACGCAGCTATACGAGCAATATTCATCATGAATGTATGAATTGCATGAAAAATGAGCAACGCCCTCGCAGGGACTCGAACGTGGGCCTCTCGAATACGCGAGTGTGCTACTGTTACACTACGAAGGCATGCAGAAAGCAGGGAGAAAATACCTTATATACTCCCCCTTTTAAAGGGAGACTGAGAATTAGGATACCCAATCGCCGAATACTGGTGGTGAAGAATCCTCATTCACCACCTTTTTTTAGCTCGGGCGCCACTATAGATACATTAGGATTTTCTTTTTTTATACTAGAGAAGGGAAAAATGTGCAATGCCCTCGCCGGGACTAGACCTGGAACCCTCGAATAGCTTCGTTTATGTTATCTTTAACTATGACGGTATCCAAGAAATCGGGAGAAACTATATATTAAATTTATGTTTGGTTATTTAATCGATGTCCTCTTTTTTTTTTTTTTTTTTTTTTTTTTTTTTTTTTTTTTTTGTACTGAGAGTTTAATATGGTTTAGTTTGTTGTTTATGTTGTGATTGTGCTTGAGTTTGGTTTTGTGGTGAGATTCCTTATTTTGTGAACTTAGAGGCGACCCAAACAAGATCATAAAGTCTATTTTTAGACCAGGTGGATCAGGTCGTAACCTTATATACTGGCGAAACACGCAGGTGTGATAGTACACTCAACTCCCATTTCATCTCTATTTCATCTAACCTCCTACTTTGAAACGCCTCCTGTTTATCAATTTAAACGCGGATATTTACTTTTAAATATATAAAAGAGCAAAATCAAATCTAGTTATCATTCCAGTCGTCATCGCTAGTATTGCCATAGCACAATACTGAAGAATCAGAAATTTCTACAAATACTAAAATCAAGATCTGGCAAATTTATTTTCACATACCTAGCAATTTTTAATATTATACTACATTATATTGATTAAAATCTAGCATATAACTTTGATTTCCATTTGACAAGATGCATTATAATTTGTGAGGTATTGTTTTTTATTATACTGCATTCGTCAAAGATTTGCGCTAATTGCGATACTTACAGTAGATTACATACCAGTAATCTACTGGCTACCTATGAGTAACGATATCTTTTATTTCGTTTCTTTAGAAACTGTTAGATTGCTTTTCCATCACAGAATTAATAAATATACCATCTAGTTTTCAAAAGACACTAATGTTATGTAAAAATGTCTCGAAGCTTTACAAATATTTCGACAGATAGATAATCGTATTACTTTTAAAAGATGATTTACCGAATTTATGGAATTTAAATAAAAGCAATCCGTTGAACTGTAAATGTACAATAGATCTGATTATACCTTAGGAAACCAAAGCCGAAGATA